GGAAGATTATCCTTCGGCAAAGCATGATTCTCAGACTTTGTATCTATTTGGGTATGTGCTGAGAGGCTTCCCCCAAAACACCCTAAACCCTGAACCCTGAACCCTAAACCCTAAACCCTAAACCCTGAACCTTGGACCCTAAACCCTAAACCCTAAACCCTGAACCTCAAACCCTAAACCCTAAACCCTAAACCCTGAACCCTGATCTCTAACCCCTAAACCCTAAACCGCAGGGTCGCAGGTTCCCTTCAACTTCATACACTAAATCCCAAAGCCTAAAGGGGCCTGAACTTAAGCCCCAAAGCCTATAGTAGCCCTTATAGAAACCCTCGTAACAGTGCCCTTAAATGTTAACCCTAAACTCTAAACCCCTAAACCCCTAAACCCTAAACCCTAAACCCTAAACCCTAAACCCAAACCGTGACCATAGACCTCCTCCGCAGCTGACCGCCGCGGGAAGATGTGGAAGTCCTATCACGCTTCGGCATGAGTTAGGGTTGAACGGGTTTAGGGTTTAAGGGTTTAAGGGTTTAGGGGTTGGTTGCAAACACCACCAACAGCACTGCGCGTAGCAGTCATCTCATCCACCCGGGCCTCAGCCCTAAACAACCCTGCAGCCCCAAGCACGAAGCCCCGGAGCACAATGCCAGCAAGAAGCCTCAAACCCTGCACCGCCCAAACCCTACTTGCGGTTTAGGGTTTCGTTTAGGGCCTAGGGCGCCCTACACCCTAAGCCCTAAACCGCGTTTAGGGTGTCGGGTTCAGGGGGCGGGGGTCTATTTCAACTCGACGTCCGGAGGCAGGGACTCAACCCTCTGCGCCTTACCAGCAATCCCCATCCCGGGCCCAGGGTTTAGGGTTTTGGGGTTTAGGGGTTTAGGGCCTAGGGTTTAGGGTTTAAGGTTTAGGGTTTAAAAAAGGGCCACGCAGAGCCTCCATCTCTCCCCCCGAAATGTCCCCAGCTTACCTACGAAATTCCGCGATGCTCGAAGGCGGGCTAAACCAAACAAAAACCCAGGTTTGTAATACATCCTAGGGTTTAGGGTTTAGGGTACTATATCACGACTAAACTCTAAAGTGGCAACAGCATGAGGAAAGCTCGCATCTCTGCAGTCAAAATGTCGCCAAACGCCCTCAGGAGCTCTATGACCGCTCGCTGCAGTTGCACCACTCTACGACGTCAACAATGGTGCAGAAAGGCTCGCACAGCTGTGCACCTAGCAGTTCCGTCAACCGCGCCACCATGGTGTCATGCACGTAAGGCGGTATTGTGCGAGATGCCTCGTCTCTGCCTTCCGTGGACCACACTCTCACCTGCTCGTCACCCGACAGCATCAACCGCGACTTCCGAGTCAAAAAGCCCCACGAACCAAGCCTAAACGCTTAAACCTTCAGATTCGCCTCTGTAAAAACCTTCGGGGCGCGACAGGAATCCTACAAAGAAATAGAACCCTAAACCCGTAAACCCGAAACCCGGCGGTGAGAAGGGTCCTCGGGCCCTCCGTCGAAACAGCTGTAGCCCCACGAGTCCTGGCTTTTGGTGAAGGGTGCCTTTAAGAAGGGTACATAACAAGGGTAGTATGCGGCTGGGGGCTTTGGGCTTTGCGGGTGCCTTTGGAGAGTTCCTTTAACAGTAAGAGTACACAAGAAGGGTAGACTGCGGCTGAGGGCCTAAGGCTTTCAGGGCTGCTTTCTAGGTCTGCAGATCCAGAAGTTGGGGACTTAAGTCGTTCCGACATGGCCCTGAAACCCTAAACCCGGAACCCTAAACCCGGCCTTAGAGCAAGGATCTCGTCCTGTGGGTCCTAGGGTCCCTCATGTTGCGCATCCCCGACGGGCGTGCTGGTTTTGTTAACGTAGGAGCCTTAGGACTTAGAATAGCCACGGTTTAGGGTTTAGGGTTTAGGGTTTAGGGTATCATCATGCTATGAACATAATAAGGACACCCCCCCAAACAAAAAGGTCATCATCTAGGCAACCCTAAACCCTAAACCCCAAACCGGCAGCAGTTTGGCGCTTTTGGGGTCTCTCCGCAGGGCACCTTGGGCTGAGGATCTAGTGGAGGAGCCTCAGGAAGTTTTAGGTGCACGAATGATTAGAAAAGGGGTTTTGGGGTATATTACCGTGGTTGTTGAAGGCCCCAGCCTGGACGAGGGGAATTGGGCCGCTAATTCGGCATCTGAAAGCGTGAGGTCTGTCTAGCAGTTTCCCGATTTGATCAGCGATTCTGTATACTATGACTTTCACAAGAATACCCTCAAAAAGTATAGGGGCCTTCATAATTCGAATAGGTTTTTGGTGCCCACTCTACTACATTCAAAAAAAGGAACCACCAAAATAATTTTGGTAACTATTTAGGCCCCTCTCGTATCCCTAATGCGGGTTTTGTCTGGTATACTCTATAGTGTTCGCAGAGCTTGGTGACGAAGGCCTCAATGACAGTGGTTGCTGTCCCCAGCATAGACATCCATGAGAAGAGGAGGTTGTCCTCTATGCTCACAATGAGCTTCAACTTGTGCCCCTTCAGTTCGTCGGTCGTCGCTTCAAAAGGAACAGTGGCATCGTATCAACTCCGCTTGCCATCGGCCTTTGCTTGAACCTCCTGAACCATCGGTCGCAACTCATTAACCATCGGTCGCGTCTGATCGAGGTGGAGCTCGGAGCTAGTTCTCGAACGAATTAAACAGGGTTTCGGGACATAAATATGGTGTGTGTTAAATAAGAAATCCTGACACGAGGTTGCTAACTTTTAAGGTTTCTATCACACAACCAAATCTGTGGGGCGGATGGGGGCGGGGGGCTCTTGAATTCGGAGTCTGTTCGTGTTGGTCTTTTCATTACGGAGTTGGCGTCTACAGTTTGAAATGCCTGAAGAGTTCCGTGATATGAGTATCATGCAAAGCTCCTCCAAAAACCCTGGCACTACTTCCATGGCTCCATCTTACGGCCTAAAGGCGCTGTCGGTCAGCGGATCCTTGCCAGCTCGTCCGCCCGGCGCTTGACCAGTTCGACTGTGTCGGGCCTGAATACGCTGACACGGCTTACTTCATATAGGTGCCTTCATGTTTTGAAAGGTCTTGGGGTATAGAATAGCAGTGGTATAGTATAGTACTAGTATTCGTCTTAGTGTGAGTATTCGTATTAGTATAAGTCTTAGCATCACCATTATTATTATCATTATTAGTAGTAGTATGAGTATTAGTATTGGTATTGGTATCCGTATTTGTATTAGTCTTCGTATAGTTTAGTTAACCCTAAAAGCTCCTAAACCGTATAGACCTTCAACCCAACACCTGAGCCCTCAGACAGTCGAGCAAACCCTCAGCCCTCAATCCTAAACCCTAAATCCTAAGCCCTAGTTGGGCTTAGGGTTTAGGGCCTCGACCCTAGATCGTAAGTATGGGCACCATAAGCGGAGAGAGGGCTTGTAGGGCGGCCTTCCTTCCAAAGTTGTGGAGTTTAGGAGAAAGTGATGAAAAGCTCAGGCCTTTCTTTCCGACCGAAATAAGCCCTACACTAAATCCTGTGCTCACATCGGGCAAAGATGTTCAAGCAGCACCCAATCCTGAACCCCAATAATTTTAGCATTCCCACTCTGACTTCTGCAGCAAACGACGAACACGGCTGAGTGATGTCTTGAGGAGGCTAGCGACGGCCAGCTGGTCGACTTCCGGAAGAACTTGGAGGTTCATGGGTAGTTATAAGTCGGGTTATAAGTGCCCTAATATAGGTTATAACTATAGTTACCCTACTTATAACCCCACTTATAACTACCCATGAACCTCCAAGAAGAGCTCTGCCTTCCTGGTCACGGCTCGCCCGGGCAACTGCAACTTCGAAGCATCTGGGGGTTTCCGACAATTAGGGTACCTTATTTTGGGGTCCTTATAATAAGGATCCTAATATATAGGGTACTATATTAGGGTCCCCTATTTTCGGAAACCCCCATCTCGGTGGTGGGACAGAGTTCACACGGATGCAGCCTCAGTATCTCGAGATCATTGACTTGGAATGCCGCGAGCAAATCAAGCTAAGGATTTGCATGATTTCTTCCGCATTCCGGGCCCGATAGCCCCACGCCAGGAAATTGAAACCACAAAGGTTTCGGGTTTAGGGTTTTGGTCTGAGCGCTATAAACACCAAACCCTAAACCCAAAGCCTTAAACCCCTAAACCCTAACCCTTAAACCCTAAACCTCGATACCTCTAAACCCTAAACCCTAAGCCCAAAACCCCTACACCCCTAAACCCTAAACCGGTTCAGGGCTTAGGGTTTTAGGGTT